AAGCGGCCTTAAGTAGCTTTGGGTGTTTTAAATGCTGGGCGCCTTCGCTGTTGCTTTGGTTCTGCTTCGGCTCGCAGCGATTATTTGCGACAGCGGTCTCGTCATTTTCGTCGCCGTTATCTATCCACTGCTGTTTACTACTTATCTGCCTTTTTCTATTTTTACATAACATGTCAACTTGTTCGATTCTTTATCCGTAATTTCCAAGGTATTCTAGTTCAGCCCCCATAGAAGAAACATACCCAAAGACAAAAGCAAAAACATGGTGTTATTGTAAACTTAAGTTTAATGCCTCTTTGCTTTGGTGAGTAGGCTGTCGAGTTATTTTGTTATCTACTATTTTTTTTTTATAACCAAGCGTTACTTGTTATGCTTAGGGTATTACGATTATGTATAGTTAATGAGCTTTTTGAAAGCGTGAGAGAATTGAGATTGATATGGATTTGTGTCAATATACATATATGGAGAAAATTAAGTAAAATGATTTAAGAGATATGTGGAAGTATATTTTTGATTCTCCCGAAGTGTATATATAAGTATGAGTATAACGACACAGCGCCAGGCAAAGTTGTTAATGGTTGGTTACAACCTCACTCGAAAGACAAAGTTCGGCCACTTGTCGCATTTTACACTTAGCATTGCAAGCTCAAGAAGAACCTATTAAATTTGGGTCCAGCTTCTTGCGCAAACTGCCGGTTCTACAGCATGGAAAAGGAAACTCCAGCAGCTGATGCTAGACTGCACAGCAGTCTGTAGACGCAGGATTAAGGCCCTTGTATCCATCAGATAGCCTCAATAGCATCCAGCAGTATATTCGTTGTGACAGATGGCAGAATACAAAGACCTTAGGTTGCGGTGTAAACCGCAATATATTTCTATCTATGTTAGCTGTCATGGTGTATAAGTAGTCCTTAGTAATTTTAACTAAATAGTTTATCACACTCCTTGTGTGATTGCGTAAAAATGGTGATTTTCGGGAATTATTTAAAACTTTTACTATTTATTTAAAAACCATTTGAAATCTCAACTTGTATAAACAATATAAAAAAAGTGTTTTTCTTTATTTCACACTTAAGATCGAAAAAAGTAAACTGTTGGATGAATTCATAACCTTTATGGTATTCGATTGGGCAGTCGAAAGCTCATTTACTGATTACCTTGAAATGCACGTCGAGCTGTTTGGTATTTTTAGTAGAGTAGTTTTCATAGCTACTTTGGCTTTAATACGATGTAGATCATATTTCAATTGTAAGCTTTCATAATCAAAGTGTGGATAATTGTAGATAAAAAATTATCATTATGAGAGAGCATGCATTAAACTATTCTCTCAACAGTGAATTTTGTGCATATCTCGAAAAAATGATAAACTGCAGAACAACTGTAGATGCCATTCTTGCAAAAGGTCAGTTTTCAAGTTTGAATTTTTTCTACAGACTGAGATTACGCACATTTCTCTAAGAAATATTGTTTCGAACTAAAGTAAAAAACACATTTCTCCCTTAGCTTTTAGAATATGGTTGGTGTTTTCCGATGTTTTCCGTACAAAGTGTGTCTAGTGTACTTCTTATATAAACTAACTTCTAGATAGGCCCAATAAATATAGCATGAAAAGTTATTGGTGCCATTAGAACGTGGATCTTTCTTACTAGCTTTGCTTTTAAACCTTTTTTCGATTTATTATTTACTAAGTACCTAAAGTTTAAATGAGCGGATCGTTTTATGTTTGCAAACAACTACGTGGACGTGTAGGGGTTCATTAATGGTATATATGCGAAAATAGTAAAAATCAAATATTATTGATTGTGCTCATGATTTTGGATACATATAGATATAGAGAGCGCATTCTAAGTCTCTTCAGAGAGTTTAAGAAATATGTGATATTTTTTGCTTTTGAAGAGCAAAAAAGTTGAGACTATTGACAGTTTATTGAATTAAGAAGACTTTGCGCTCACCAATGAGTGTGTGGGTATTTTTTTGCTTGGAATGAGCGTGGGCAATATTGATAAATGAATTGAAACCCGCCTGGCTAGGTGTTATATCATTTTTTGTGTGCAAATATAAGTCTTTTGGCTCTCACATGTATGTGAGTGCTTGGGTGTGTTTGCATTTAGTTAAAGTCTAGTTTTTTAGAGCAGCTAAAACGAACGTCTACGTCAGAAGTGTGATTCAGTCTTACAATTGATTTACAATTTTACAACTTAGCTGAGAGATACCTTGGAGAGATATTACCTCTCAGTTACTTTGCAAAATATGTGAGGGTATTTGCGAAAACATATTTGTTTGCTTACACGGGTAGAGAGAATGTTTGAAGGACGGCAATGTGCATGATAATGGTCACTAAAATTAATTACGTCTTTTGTTTGGTGTATGTAGATATTTATATGTATATATTAATTTTGATTTAATAAATTTAGATATTTTCTTATATATAGCTTTTAAAAAAATTTGTGAATATGCTCAAATGATCGGTTTCACCCTTATTTACATACCATCGGATTACATAATACTGATCCATTAAATTGCGCGCGCAAACCGAATCAATATATAATTTTTTCCGACATTCAAGTTTGATCTCTATTTATCAATCAGTGTGTATTTGGCGGCTATTTATTCATTTATTTATGACACAAACAGTTTGTGTGTTGACTTTTATCATAAAAAAATTTTAATAACGGGTGTGCTTTTGTGTTTCTATGCAATCACGGCTCACAGAATTGTTGAAAATGTTGCAGAAGTGTTTTCGTTTTTTAAGTGGCACCTATCATTCAGCAAGGTCGTGAAGTCATAGAAAACATGCCTCATACGAGTTGTCCATCCACCTCTATTAATGACGATAACATCGAAAAAGTTAAAGAAACAGTGCTTGAAAAGAATCGTTTCGGCATCAGAGTGATAACAGGGGATCTCAACATCTCTTATAGATCAACTCAACAGATTTTGGTTAGTGTTTTGGAGTAGAGATCACAATGTTGCTGAAGACAGTACATTCATCACACGCATCATTATTGGTGAAGAGACGTGCGTTTATAAATATGACGCCGAAACTGGTCAACAATCTAGTGAATGAGCTTAAACAATACCACTCTAAAAATGAGTCTAAGCCAAAAGAAAAAAATAATTCATTCAAGCAGTCAAGGCCATCGAAGTAGAGGCTTATAAAAAGCTAATAAGAGAACGAAGATAAGAGCATCAATAAAGCATTTGCCTGATTATTGGATGATCATTTTGTTAAAAAATTATATTCAAGAAAAAAACAATAATTTTAGGAACAGTTTAGGATAATATAATAATAAAAGAAATATATACTAATTTTTAACTTTAATCCTTAATATGTATATGCTATAGTGGTCCTATCTAAATAATTTATTCGGAGATGGTATCGTTGCCTTGGAAAATAATCCATGCCAAATTTCGTGAAGATTTCTTATCAAAAAAAAAAGGTTTTTTTTTTATTCAAGGACTTGATTTTGATCGATCGGTAAGTATGACAGCTATATGTCCGATATCAGCGGTGAGAACCAGGTGAACGGACGGACACATGGCTAAATCGACTGAGTTCGTCACACTGATCATTTACATATGCACTGTATAAGGTCTTCGACGTTTCCTTCTGTGTTATTGTGGATAACTGGGGAATCTTTAAGAAAAAATCTGGTTTTGAAAAAAATATTTATATAATTTAGCCATATGTTTTTGTTTATATATGTGTATATATGTATTTTCGGGCTCGTAGGCAACTAAATTAGAGTAGACGTTGTAATTGAAATTTTCTTATAATTCAGGAAGTGTAAAACAATTATGTAGAGATTTAGCCCATGAAAAGACGTACATGATCTTAAACATATACATATATATATAAAGTTAGTAGCTTCCTCAACTAAATTTTCAGAAAAATTTATCAAAGCAAAATTAAATTCTTAGCACGTTCTGACCAGCATTCTTAGAAAGATTGCAACATACATTAAAAAACGAAATCAAACCAACCATAACGGCCAAATAAAAAACCTGAAGCAAGAATTTAGCCAAGCGCTAAAAATGCTTGTACAAGGTGTATATTATGTATTACTTATATATTATATATATATATAAATTTGTATGTATGTCCAAGTCTGTAGATAAATGAGCAAAGCAGTTTATTGTTGTGCTGAAGATGTTGTGATGGTGGCCCAGGCGTAACGCATCCGCGCCACCGGTCGACGCAAACAAATCGTCGCCCAGTCGGCAGCCAAAAGTTGTTAACTTGCCAAAGGCCGAAACGGAAGAAAAAGAGGAAAAAGAAGAAAATTCGCGCAACCCACCAACGACGCACGGATCAACAAAGCATGACGAGGAAAGCGGCAAGTATGTGTTGTATATGTGTGTGCTTGTGTGGTTGAGCGTCTGTCTACTTAACACTTAAAGCGTCGCAAAAACCAAGAAATGAATAATAAAAAAATGAGAAAATAAAAATTAAAGGCAAAAATCAATTGACTTTGCTTATTAACAAAGGCAAGAGAGCTATAACAGCAAATACAACAGTCACAAAAGCAAGGTAAAACAAAAAGCAAGTCGTCTGAAGAGCGCTGCCACTTATGGGTGCCAACGGAGAAGAATTGTGAGTAATAAGACAAAGTTGGCGGAAATTTAGATTTTTTTGCTTTTGCATTTGGTAGCTCCACTGCTCAGCTTTTGCGAATTCTCCGAAACTTGGTAGGACCGGTTTACGCTGTACGACTATGCAAGTACATATACACAAACACTATGAATGCGAAGCAAATCGTTTGAGTCTGAGCCAGCTGTTTTATTATTTCGCTATTTTATTGCTTAGTGTTGAGCGGCTTTATATGCTTTACGCTGAGCGCTAAGCGTACTGACTGGCTTTGGAGAATTTTGCTCTGCATGTGTGTGTGTGTGTGTGTATTTTTGTTTGCTTGCCTTTTAACTTATTGGCTTCTCAGCGACGCTGTGGCATTGGCTATCAACTTGCTCGTCGGCTTGCGATTCAGCTAGCACTTCCAATTCGACAGTCTTAGCCTGGTCGGTGTGACGAGTACAACACAAACGCTTTGAGGTACGGAACGCGTGCGCACGTTATCGTCGGACGTCGGTTAAAAAAGTTTTGTACTTTGCTTTGCATTTTGAGTGTGTGCGTATTTAGTGGTTGTGTACGTCTGTGTATGTTTGTGTGTATGCATGTGCGTGAACACGAGTCGATGACGAGTATATGAGCCTGAAATTGCGGAATGGTATGTAGACGAATAGGCAACGCAACGAAATAGCGTAGTGCTAGTATTTTTCAATTCAAAAATAGGCTGTAAAACAAATATTATAAAGAAATTTAAATACGTTGAAAAATTATTGTAAAATGGTCTGTGACCATGCATGGAATGTGAATTCTAAGTGCAATCGTGTTGGCATTGTACTAAGTTGCGGCTAAAGTGTAGTGGTGCGCACTATCGCATATATATTCGATAAATTACAGTTGGTAATAATTTTTGTAAGCATCACGCGCCGCACGACAGGAAGTCTCACAAATGCGTGCAAAGGCTTGTTGAAGTTCGAAAATTATTATTATTGGCAATTATGAATGCGTGCGCATAGATTTTGTGATGACTGTATAGCTATTCATATTGTTGTTGTTGTTGTCGCCCTTATGTGCGCATAGAGAGCAAGTTATGCATACTTGAAATGTATGGAATTGCGCTATTTCATGGTGCATGTCTTTACAGCAAACACGCTGCGCCTATGTTCAGCTTGCATGCATAAGTAGTTAAGAGTTAATTTCAAATAATTTATTTTATTATTTCATTTGTTGTTGTGGTTTTTTTTGCATTGCGATCATTAGCGGTGGATGATGTCAGCAATATGTGTGTCAAGTGTACGGCAAATACGGAAAAACAACATTTTTAGCAGTCTTTCATCGCCCGCAAGCCATTAAACAAAAGACTTAAGCAACGAACTCGTATCAAAACTCATTGAATTTGTGTTGTGTGCAAGTTCGAATGAAAAGCAGTTACAATCATTATGAAGTTGCGCTTATTTTGCAGAAAGTTTTCAACAAACATCAAGTGTTACTAATTAAATTTATGTTTGTGTGTGCGTTGCGTGTTTTTGTTTTAGTTCGCTATTTCAAAACACCCCTTAATCTACTTTAACACCGCAACACATACAAAAAAGCTGCTATGCTGCGTATTTCAAGTGTTCGGTGTAAATAAATAAACAAAATTAATTTCACAAAATAACAACACATACAACAAAAAAAAACTGAAACAGTTGGTGTATTTGATTACATAACACTCGCGCTCACTACTCGCGCCATGCAATTGTGCGGCGCTCTTGACCAAATCCATAGTCATAATAACAATGATAATAATAACAGCAATAAGAAAAGCCAACAAATATGATGCTAAAAGCAGCAATAATAACAACAATAACATGCAGACAGCCAGCGTTGAACAATCGGTCGCCGCAAGCGTTGAGTGAATGAAGCGACGGCTCAACCTCAATAAGAAGCTGAAATTTTATGTAAAAAGACGAAAAAAAACCAACAACAATAAGACATAATAAATGAATTAATAAATAAAAGCAGCAACAAAAGTTGAGAGGTCTAATATAAAACATACGCGTAAATAAATATTTGAAAAAAAATGGAAAATATTGAGATGAACCATAGTAAATGGGTTACAAAGTTTTATATGCAAGGAAATTACAATTTTTTTGGATGTTGATTTGTAAACACACACTTGTGTATATTGTGAAAAGAGTTGTCAAAAAAGTGTGAAAAACGAAGTAGATTTACAAAGAAATAAAATACAAATAGGCAAAAACGCAAAGACGCAAGATAAAAATCTCAAAACTTTGCTGAAAATCCAGAAAATAAATTTTGATTTCGATAAAATTTTGGTTTTAAAAATAACAAAAAAGATTATATAAGAAAAATATTAAAAGTTTTGAGTTGTCAAAAAAGTGTGAAAAGCCCAGTAGATTTACAAAAAAGCAAAAAAAAAAAACAGAGAAACGAAATAAAAACCTCAAAATTTTGTTGAAACTCCAAAAAATTAATTTTGATAAAAGTCTGGTTTTAAAAATAACAAAAACTTTTGAAACAAAATTTATACAAAAGCAAGAGAAATGTATTTATTAAAATTATATTAGGGAGAAAATTTAAAACATTTTTTTAAACATTATTGTTTTTTCAAATTTTGCGTAAAAAATTTGGAAGAAATAAAATAATTTTTTTTATATATATTTTTTTACCTTAATAGAGTCACAATACTTCTAAAATAAAAATAATATTTTAAAAAACTTCTGCAATTTGGAAAATTTTTTAAATAATTTTTTACAAAAAGATTTTTCAACTTCTAAAATTTGGGGAAAACATTTTAGAAATATATAATATATTGCAAAAAGATTCTTCTACTTTTATAGTTTTGAAAATATTTTAAATAACTATTTTCAAATAGATTTCTGCACTTGTACAACTCAGAAAATAATTAAAAATAATTTTTACAAAAATATTTTTCTATGTGCTTCTAAAATTTTGAAAATATTTTAAAAAATGTATGGCAAAAAGAAAATATTTATAAAATATTTTAAATATATATTTTATCATAACGAAAACTTAAAAAAAAAAATTAATTATGAGGTTTGGACGAAAGGTTGATGGAAACTTTAATATTCTGCTCTCTAGTTAGTTAATTTGCTGTATAAATTAATTATTAATTCACTGTTTGATTGACTTATTATGTAATTAAAAATGCAATAATATTTAAAAAGTAGTTAAATCAAACATGAAGTGAAAAAATAGCCATAAATTATGTTACGAAGTATAAATTTCGATACCACCGTTAAAAAGTATATTTCCTTATAGAGCTTTTGGCAGCATATTAAAGAAAAGCAATTAAAACCCCACACTAACGCCCGACAAGGAAGTGTAAAAGAAGAAATGTTGAAATAGAAATATTACAAAAACAATGAGAGACACGCAACAATTGCAACAACAATATTAACTGCAATAAAACTCAAAAACTACAAAATTAATTTGTATTTGGCAAACATTTAAATTAGATTACGCAAAATAAAAAAATAAAGCAGCTCGAACAGCAAAAGGAGCGGCTATTAAATATTGGACTCGCAAAATTTATTTGCTAAAACCAAATGCAAAATATATAAAAACTGAAAAGTTACAAAACTTAACGGGCTACGAGTCAAACGAACACAGACTGGTAAGTTTATGTAATACATTTACACGAATTGACATTAATTTGTAATTGCATACATATATATTATATTTAGTAAAGTATTTAAATGCTTTGCCTACAATTTCATTAGACATTTTGCTTAAGGCTGTCAACTCTCAAGCATTACAAATGATACCGCTTTTTCAATACCCTGAACAGGGCATATTAAGTTTGCCATGAAGATTTCTGATTATAACATTCAGAGAGAAACGTCGAAGGCTCTATGTATATGAATGATCACAGAATGATCAGTGTGACGTGCTGAGTCGCTTAAGTCATGTCCATCTGTCCGTCCGTCTGTATATACGTGAACTAAGTTTTTGAAATATCGATCTGAATTTTGCATACGTCTTTTTTCCTTCAGAAGCTGCTCATTTGTCGGAACCGCCGATATCAGATCTTTATAACATATAGCTGCAATACAAACTAATCGCTGAAAATACATTCGCAGTTTGGAGAACTTTTTATTTCAGGAAATGTTATTCAAATCGTACTACTATAGGATATAAATGTCATACAAACTGATCGATAAAACTCAAATTCTTGTATCGAAAACTGATTTATTTGACATAGCAGCTTTAGTATCTTCACGTAATTTGGCGTTGATTCTTATGCAAGGCCACACTACAATCTATGAAGAAATAGTTCAGATCGGACAACTATAGCATATAGCTGCCATACCAACTGACCGATAAAAATCAAGTTCTCATATGGCAATTTTTTTATTTCTAAAGTATAGATTTCTGGTGTAGGCAAAGTTAACGTGTATTTTTGTTTTTGTAATTTTTTGAGAAAATTCATTTGTCACTGTGCCTCTTAAAAGCACTAGGCAGTCATTTGTATGTATGTATTTGTAGACACACATGTAAATCTGAATACCAGTGCACTATGTAAATCACCTTACAAAGCACAAATACAGTTCGCTGGTCGTTGGTTTATCAGTCAATGTTAAATGTCACTCAAACAAAATACATGTAAAAACGCTGTTAGCGAATAATTATATTGAGAAATTACAATAAAAATTATTTTAAATACTAACTAAAAGCATTCTTCCAACAGCTATCAATCAAAAAGACTCCCGCTGTGCCCCACAAATTGCATGAAAACGCGCAGTCGGTAGCGTATCAATTCACTAAGAAGCTTAAAAGATGCTGTATTTAGTAAATCTACAAGCTGACGTACACAGAGCATACACACACATATATATATATATATATATGATGTAGAAAAGTTCGCATGTATGTACAAATGTATCTGTGTCTCTGTATTCTTCAGAATTTAGCGCACAATGATTTAATACAGAACTCGCTGGTAAATTAATGAAAAAATGCTATTCCATTCTCTTATTCGCCTACGAGTTACTGTAAAATGTATATCCATAAATTAATATATGTATGTACTTACATGTATTTATATATGTATTTATATTGTTCTTAAGCATATTTGGCATACGCAATAAAATATTTTCAACGTGGTGGCATCAAGCGAACGAGTCAGTTCTTATAAGGCGCTACTTACTATACGAGTGTGTGTGTGTGTATGTTCGTTAAATCCAAAGTTTGTTGGCGAGCAAAAGATGACTTCATAAATTGAAGATCAGCTCCCCAGATAAATAATGAACGCATCTAAAGCAAACACATGTACTTATGTGAGTGCAAGTAGGTGTGAATGTCGTTTTTCGCATGAATTTAGCCTGTCGGAAATTTAATTTTTATTGAGTGATTATAATTTATGTGCAGACTTAAATATTTTTATATTATTACGGAACTATATATTGGTAGATATTTTTAGACAATTTTTAAACATTTGTGTTTTTTAACTCTAGTTTCTCACCTTTTCTGGAGCAGCTTAACAAAATTTAAAAAATATTAACTTTTTAAAAGCGGTTTGAAAAAGAAGACAAGCAAGAAAAAACGTTAAATAAGGCTGCAGATTAATACCCTTTACAAATAAAAAAGTTTTCATACAAGAACTTGATTTTGATCGATCAGTTTGTATAGGAGCTATATACTATAGGGTTCCGATCTGGAAAATTTATTCATTTTTTTGGACAATAATATATGTAAAATTTCGTTAAGATATTTTGTCTAATAAAAAAACTTTCCATACAAGGACTTGGTTTTGATCGTTTAGTTTGTATGGCAGCTACATGCTATAGTAATGCGATATCAGCGGTTCTTATGAGCAGTCTTTTGGGGAAAAAGGATATAAGTATGTAAAATTTCAAATCGATATCTCAAAAATTGAGATTTGTCACGCTAATTTTTTATATATAGGGTCTTCGACGTTTCCTTCTGGGTGTTTCAAACTTCGTGGCAAATTTACCATAATGTAACCTGTTCAGGGTATAAATTACACACCCTAATGGGTATTATTTATATGACGGATCTGTCCTCTCTTTTAGCGCCACTAAGCGGGCCCTATATGTTTACATACTTTATATATGTATACCAAATTTAATTAATTGCTCTGACATTAAAATACAAATCGATCAATATCTTACAAGATTTTAAAAAGATACAGTTAGGTCAACTAACTAAATCATATAATTACTTTGTAAAAAATTATATCATATCCAAAGATTTCCTACTGTGTTATCTCTCGATAGCTGTGACTGTGTCATAAAAACCCTCGCCAAAAACCGGATTTTTGTCAGGCCAGCAACACCGCTGTGACGCAAAGTCAACGTAGCCAACGACAATCTCCACTGGTGGTTGCTGTGCGTTGCCGCAAAAGGCGTAAACAAATGCAAATAAAAACTAATTTTGCGGAGGTTTGCGGATTTACAGAAAAATGACGTCAAAAGTTTGAACGAAAAATGAAAAACAAAATATATTTTTGATTTTTTTGAGTTATTTGCAAAGTGTGCCTTTGTGTGTGAGTCTTAGTTTACATCATCTAAATATCTGACCGTAAGCTATGAAGAAACGCCTGCGGATTTCTCAAAAAGCAATGCTCGCGAAAAGGAAATGTTACAGCACACATAGTCAACAACATTACCTCACATTTGATACACAAATGTCCGAAAGTATTCCATTTATTTTATTGACTCGCATATTTGTTTTGCTTTCTTTGCAGTTGTCTGTCTTACTTGTCGCACATATGGCGAGAAATTAACTAAAACGGCAGTTGTTTGGCTTCTTTTATATAAGTGTTAACCTGTTTTTCAAGGTTAAAGCGGAATAAAAACATTAATATTTTTTGTTGTTTTTTTGTTGCTGTGCTTTCGTGCTTTTTTTTCTTTATACACTTAACTGTCACTTGCAAATTGACGATTGCACAAAATACAGCTGAAAATTCGAACAACGATACGAAACTGTGTTGTTGTGGCATACAAATTGTAGTGTGTAAAAGATTTACCTTGATTGTTGGCAAAAAGCAATAAATAACATTGTAAATCATACTAAAAACTTAACCATTTTAAGGAAAAAACGCATTACGGCCAATCACTGCGGCATTATTGGCTTAAAAGTCTATGTGCGAAAGTTGCTGTTGCATCATCACGCTGCTGGCAGTCAGCGAGTGGCATCATCCACATGGACAGTCGAACGCTATAACACTGTGGCCTTGAAAACCAAAAGCAACTTGTATGTGTGTGAGCGCATATGAATTTCATATAAAATGACACTAAGTTGTTAAATGCGCCGCTTACTGTGGCTTAAATGCAGTAACATTACTTGTACGCCTCTTTTCTACGGAAAATTTCTTCAGCTACAAAACGAGCGGCAGCAAAGAAAACAAAGAAACAATAAAAAAGTATAAGATATGTAATAAAAAATTACCCCTGTCAACACACCTCGAACCCTGTAACGATTGAAATCTCAGCTATAACTATGAAATGCAGTAAAAGGACGTTGTCGTTTCTTCTCACTCTGCTGCTTTGACTGGCATGCGTTTGACCAGCGCTTTTTTGATATTACACATTGCAACAACTATAACTTTTCCAGCCACCTGAGCTACCTTGCATTCAAAACCTATTTTTATTTTTCTCTTTTTACTTTTTTGTCTTGCTTCTGTTTGCTATCATCGCTTAGATCATCATTCGGTAGCGTCACTGTACACCGACGCTCATTTCTTCTTCTAATACATCCAGCATGCCGTCACGCTGACACGAGTGCTATTGCTTTATGTCTTGTACTCTATGCGAGCAAGAGAAGCGGAAGTGTTTTTCACGGCGACACATTAAATAATGCCTACTGCACGTTGTGTCATTGTGGTGATTGACCTATTGGTCGTGTAGTATGATGTTTTATGCGAACGGTGTCGATGTGCTTGTCTGCACGTGTGTCTGTCTGTCCTGAAGTAGGGTGTGCTGATGTTGTGTTAAAAGCGAGACATGAATGAAAATTATATAGGAAACATGCGTCAGTTTTCCAAGTAAATATAGTTTGGAAGATACTACCTATATAAATATGGGTATACATAAAATAAATAAAATTCAAAATTTGTATTTTTTCTTTTGAAAATCCCCTCCTTAAATAGAATAAATTTCAGATTTTTAAACTGAGGTTAATTTTTCCTTCTTTCAGCTCTCTGTGATTGTAGTTTTCATAGCCAACATATTGAAATATAAATTGTAGAAATTACTGATAAAAAAAAACATTATAATAATTACAAAAAGTATAATTTCATATATTTTATTAAAGTTTAACTCTTGTTTGTCAATAGCGATATTTTGTTTTCATATAGCCAATAATTCGTTAAAATTTGTTATTAAATTTTTGTACTCTTAATCAAAATAATCTCATACCTCAACCAGATACCTGTGGCTTCTATATATAAAACGATTGCATATGTTGAGAAATTCAAAGAAATTCCTTAAAAATGTTTAGAACTTGAGATATGCTGTGGATTCTTGTGCTCAAATCATCTTTGTATCAAAATAGAACATGATTATACTAGTTACGCTGGTGATGTAATTTATGTTTGATTAAGAATTCATCATATGCAAGGAAAAGCCATTGAAATTATTGGTTCCGCATAGA